TTGTAGCCCAGCTCGGTCAGCACCGGTTGGTGGTCCGAACTCAGGTCGTTGACGGCAACCGGCTTGGCTAATCTGGTGTTTGCCAAGAACAGGTCCAGCGTCGATGGGTTGCCCGTCGGTGATGTGAAGGTTGGTTCGTCCGGAAACCAGACGGAATAGAGACCATGCTGGGAATGGTCGAATAGCAGGCGGCCGTTCTGGTTCTGCTGGTAGTTCCGCCAGGCCTCGTGCCGGGCGTTCAGGTCCCCTCCGATTACAAAGCGGGCATTGGTGTGGGTTATGATGGCAAGGTCGTTCTTGAACTGCTGTGCTGTACCATTGCTAACGGTACATTGCCGGGGGCAGTAGACAACGATGAACCGGACGTTTCCGGTCGATGTTTCCACTTCAACGCCGACGGCCTCGATGATGGAAGTGCGGTAGTGGGGTAGGGTGCAGTACTTGATGCCTTTCTTGATGATGACCGCGACACCGCCCCCCCTGGAGCTGGTGCGATCAAGCCGGACAATGCTGTGGTCGGGCAGCCAGAAGCTGTCACCGGTCTTGAGGTGGGTCTCGGTGAGAAGGCCCACGTCGATGTCGTGCTTGCGGAGGAAGTCTGCAAGCTCAATGTTTTTCGCCCCTACGGAGCGAGCGTTCCAGTTGGCGATCTTTATGGGTTCACGGTCCATAATTAGCGACGAAGGAGATGATAGCTTGGAGCTGTTGTGTTCTTGTTGCGCAGGTGCGCTTGATGATGATGGCCTGGGCCAACAGTGTGACGATCTCATCCGTTGACAGCGGAGAATCGTCTGTAGCTTCACCGGTTGTACCGGCCAATCCCGGAGCAGGGGGATCCGTCGATGTTTTTGCGGAATATATGAGCTGATCATTATATATCCACCTACGATTTGTGCAATCGCATATGCTATGCTATCCCAAGTAACAAATCTAGAGCTGCTCGGCTATATACAAAATTTATAAAGGTTTTATTGCAGCTGCAACCATTACCTACAGCTTTATCACGGTCATATACAATGCAAGTCATGAAACATTCTTATAGCTATCTACAAAACCCCTATAAAGCTGATTAAAAAACCAACTGATGCTTATGCTATTTTCACTTATGAAAGGTTTTATGCTTGCTTTGAAGTATAAAAAAAAGTAATATGAATTGCCCTTATAAAACCAAAAAATATATCCTTTCGTTGCTTTATAAGTAAGCGCAATAAAACTAGTTGGCCATGAAACAGTTATTTTAAAACAATTATAAGCATTCAGTTGCAACTTGTCAGAAATGTAAATAGGTGGTTTATTTTTACAACATAGAAAAGAATCACAACTTTCCGGTACTTCCAAGCGGAGCGCAAAGAAAATCAACAAAATTGTTAGCATGAAAACATTTCGTGTATACGTATACGCGACGTAGTGTGCGTAAGAAAAACGTCAGCAATCTCCATGATTCTTCCGTTCTCGCTCGCATGCATGGAATGGTAACAGTCCTAGGGCAAAAAGGTTGAAATCAAGCATAACTTTTCATAAAGGTTAATGTACCATTCAAAACTTTTCTAAATGTTTGTAAAATTCATCGGTTGCACCCGTAGAATAGGAATATACATTTGCCCTCAAATAAAAAAAAAATGAATTCAAGCTTAACATTACATTAGGTCCTAAGTAATATTGACAGATTCGCTTCGTCAACTTTCTCTTTGCATCCTCACGGTCATGTAAAGACATTCCCAGGTATTTTCAGCACATAAATCGATAAAAGAAGCTTTTATCTAGCATCCAATACGACATCAAGAAACGGTTCTGTGAATAAGTTATTAACGGCTGTAGGCTGTGAAGTTTTAACGTATTAAGAAAAGTTGTTTATTTTATCAAGATAACCAACTTTGAAAAAGTCTTGAAGTCTTCGAAACACAAATTCAATGCATTAAAAAAAGTTATAGAAAAAAATCATGTTCCACTAAAATGAAGAAATCTAAAAAAAATCACCAAAATATACCTCTCTCAAATTTTGATATTTTGTTAATCGAGTATTGCTTAATTTTTGCTGAAAATGTCAGGTTGCGATTTTTTGCGCTTTGGGAGATATTAATGTTCAAAAATTGTATTTTTTTTCTCGTTTTTTCAACAATATCTTTGAAATTTGAAGCTTAATCCAGTATGTTTCTTCACAAGAGCTATTTATTTAATGTATTTGCATAAGAGAAAAATATAAAATTATAAAGCTGTAAGCAAAAAAACCGAAACAGAAAAAACCATATTTTCGACATTTTTTCTTTAACTCCATATAACTTGGAACCAGTAGACAGTGGAAATTTAACGTCTTTGAAAGAGCTGTTCATTTTGTCAAGATAAACAACTTTGCCTAAGACATAAAGTCTCCAAAACGACAGAGAAAGAAGTAAGATTGTGGCACTATCTTTGCGGAAGAGTTTTGAACTATTTGTTTATGTCAATAGATGGTCCTTATTATGACGAGAAATTTTGCCGAAGACACCAAGTCGCGGAAATGCTCCGTTTCGAAGTTATAAATTTTGCTCCGCTAGGTTGCATTCCTGACCCAGTGTGCAATGTAAGCATTAGACATTTTAAGAAATTGCGCTTGATGTTTTTCTTGCCTGCTGTCCTCTGTCGCCATATTGTCATTATGAAAATGCCATTAGCCTTGGAATAAAATCCAAGAAATTTCAATAAAATAATGGCTAGATAAGAGATCCGAAATGATTTCCAGTGTGCATTGGTATGAATTTGTGTATTGAGATCTATTTTCTGTAAAATTAAGGTGATTCCATCAAATTCATTTGATTTCTGAAACAATCTTTTTTGTTAACTTGAATTATTTTGGAGGCGCATTTATTTAACGCTCATATTATCTCAATATACACGATGATATTTCAAGCGCATATGTTTTGGAACTTCTAAAAAGTAATATATTTTCTTTAAGATTTTCACTAATGTCGCCATGAAACAAAATTGATTGCATGGTGATCTTGACACCAACACTCAAACCTATTTTTACCGCTAAAGATTTCCATTTGGAAAAAAAAAGTTTCAGCAGAACAGAACAACAACAAGCTAATTTATGGCGGTTGCTTTGATGCAATAAACATTAAATTGGCTTTATAACTTATTTTCACCAAAGCATCATAAAACTGCTTGGATACCATATTACTCTTATAGAGGATATGAGAACCTTTTATAGAGTATGAGGCTTCCTGACAAAAGGCTTTAAGACAGCTTTATTGTAATTCTCAAACATGCTTTATAAACCTTATCAAGGGTGGTCCACTAAGCTGTATGACGATCTTATAGCGGTTATCAAAAGGTTGTGCTGGAGCTATTAATTTTATTGGCGGTTTTATGAAATTGATCTCAATAACCACTAATAGAGTGCAATAAAACAAGAAATGCTACTTGGGATGCTATGCTATGCTATGGAATTTGGCGCAACTCTCCCATATTGGCATACCCTACTCGATTACGGGAAGGATGATTTGCTTGTGAAATGTGGATACAATGAATGTTGCACTTGGTTTTCGTTTTGCCAATGTGCTCCCTGAAAAGCAGCCCACTGTCAAGAGTCAGTCCGAGGTAGACTACCTCTTTGGACCATTCTACCACTGTGCCGTTTAGGCAGATTTTGTTATTCTAAGACGGAACAAGTCTGGGGGATTTTGAGTGTGGAAAAACTATGACCTGGCTCTTCGTCACGTTGATACGGATCTTCCAGCCTCTGAAATACTCAGACAGGACATCCAAGCCTCTCTGGAGTTTGGTAGTCAGAGCTCCGCGAATAGAGACAACGATCCACCATCAGGGAGAGCCGGACTATCGGAGTTGTATAGATTGAACAGGATGGGCCCAATGATACTTCCTTGGGCCACACCTGCACCGATGTTGAAGGCATCCGGCCATTCAGAGAGACCTGGAACGTCCTGTCCGATAGATAATTTTGTATGATCTTCACGAGGAAGATCGGAAGAACGTATCGATGCAACTTGTAGAAATTGTCAAACACTTTTTCAACGTCTAACAACGCCATAGCAGATGTTTTAGAAACAGCCTTGTCCCTTCTAAGAATGTTTGTTACTCGGATCAGTTGGTGGACGGTCGACCGACCTTTTCGAAAACCAGACTACTCCTCGAGTAAGATGTTGCTTTCTTCGGCAGATGTTAGAAGCCGGCTGTAAACTGCCCTTTCGAACAACTTGGATAGCCCTGAGAGAAGGCTGATGGGTCGGTAACTTGAAGGAGAATCCTTCCCAGGTTTCCAAATGGGGATGACTTTAGCTAACTTCCAGCACGAGGGGTAGTAGCCTAACGCGATATTGAAGGAACGGAGGTAAATATTAGAAATTTGGTAGGGAAAAGCTGTCGAAGGAGCCTTAATTTCGATCGAGTTGGGGAAAGATCAAGTAAGAGAGGGAGAGAGAGCTGACTGTATTATGAAAAATTGAAGCATTTACGCACTCGAATCAAATTAAAAGCTCATGCGGTCTCCCAATCCCCATGTTGAATTGTTAACGTATTTCACTTTCCTTCCCCGTAAATGCGCATTTATCACTAAAACCAATGATGCGTTAAACGTTGCTGGCGTAAATAGTGTTGAAGCAATGTAGGTATTATCAAAACGAAAAGAATTCCTGCCGAAACAAATGAATGGGAAATATGCTGCACTCGACTCGCTTGTTGTCTACAGCCGTCAGTAGAGCGACCATCAAGCCATATCGACAGCGTGAGTGGACTCTGAAAGCGTTGACGGGGGGTTGGGGGGAACAATATATTTGGGTGAGTCACATGCGCACTTACTACCCACTGCCAGTATTATAGAGGACTGGGGATGGCGGGAAAACTTTGAGAACTGCGAGTGAGAACTACGCAGAAATTGAAGGCAGCAACGGCAGGGCGTGTTTACGATGTGAGTGAAACACACCAATCCAGAAGAATAGGGCGACTCGGTGATAGTTTCTAATCGACGGTGCTTTCAGTCGACTGTCGCAGTTTGAACGGTTCGGTTGCTTCTCCGAAGTACCTACTTGGAAGAGATTTGATTTGGTACATAAAGTGAGAACGCACACAACGCTGGTAAAAATAATGCCACTTTTTCGAAGAAGTGACGATAGGTGAATGAAAATCAGTCAACGAAACTTAATTAAATTAGGCTACAATAACAGCCCGGTCCGGCGAGTGTGGTGATCGTTTTCGGGGGTTAGTGAGTGGAAGGTGTTAGTTGTTTTTTCGCGAGTTGTTCACCGGAAGTGTAAAAGATGCAGATGAAGTGGTTGATGGTTTTGATGGTGCAGATGTTGGGTGGCAGCCTGCTGGCGCTGCAGGACTCGTCTCAGGAGAATCGAGGCTCTTCAACGGCGCAGTATTGCACCGATTTGAATCCCCAGACCGGATTGGATATCGAGCAAGTAAGCGGATGGTGACGGTGTGGCTGAAGAATGGATATGATTTTTGCACGGAAGTATTTAGGGAAAGTGCGGGAACCCCATAACAGCTTTAGTGCAACAATTAGACCCACAATGAACTGTCAAATGCTAAAAAAATAAACAAAACATACCCAGGCATCTACCTTGCTGGTGTTAATAATGATTTTTTTTTAAATATGCTGGGAAAATAAAGGTGAATTTGGTTGTCACAAAATCACACTTTTCTCAACATCGGATATGTCTGGGACTTAGATTGATCTACTCATGCATGAATAACTTTTTTGAACACTGCAAATCAATTCAAATAAACTGCAAAAATTAACTAACTAATTAAGATTCAATTTAGCGAGCCAGAGACGGAGGAGCACTGGTGAATTCTGAATTCTTAATAGTTACCAGTTTAAAGTGTAATCCTAATCCTCGCAATCATATAATTTAATCAAATTTTAGAATGCAAAAAGCTCGTTTGGTAAAGAGTGCCGGTCTTACCCCGGCATAAGTACGTCAATTTTTGTCACTTTTTATAATAAACAGTTATCAACTAAATAACCTTGCTACCTCACAATTTCTATTCAAAACTGTCAAGACATGGACCCTGCATGGGAAAGATAACCAAATTAGCTCTATATTTATTTAAAATAGTCTTAATGCTTAAGGGACTGGACTTACCCCCAGTTCCCCTAATTGAATTGAAACCCCCTAACCAGGCCCATTTGGGATGGGAAATGATGAAGTCATTCGAGTCTACTTGGTTCATATTATGTTGTTTATGAACACCGATCCGAGTTGTTTCCGTCGAGGGCGCAATTGCCATTCGGTTGTTCGTTACGTTGTATTTTTATGTGGACGTACTGAAGCGTTAAACGATTTGGCGCAGTTTGTGATAGGGAGGCTCTCGCTTTCATGGAGGAGGGAATTGTTCGTTAATGGGAGAGAGGAGCCGTTTATGCAGCTTGCAGATAGTAGATGAATGTATTTTTGTTTTAAGAATGATAGAATGAATGATTTAACTGCGGGATCTATTACAGAAGAATGATGTCACACTTTGCCGACGGAAATAACTTGTGATCTTCATTTTGATCAGTCGGTTAATAGGATGCACATGTGCAGTATCCAGCTATTCGCACCGGTAGCCATTGGTTTTCACTAAACATATTTAATTGATTTTGATGAATGTGCAATCACTCGTCGCGTTGGTAGACGCATACTGTCTTATAAAATGAGTTTATGGTCTAGGGATATTGATGAAACGATCTGTGAATTGCACCACATCCATACATGTTCCTACACTATACGACCGAACAAAGCGATGCAGCAATTAGCAATGATCATCGAAATGTATCCTCCACCAGATAGGTCAGTATTATTTGTACATTTCACGATCAAGTGTTGATTTATGAGCGATTCATTATTTGCTGCAACTGTAATTGCCCATAATCTGCATTTTTATATTTTGCATTTGTACGATTGCACTATGGAGAATCTTGGCGGTGCTCTAATTTGGTATTGCTCATTCTGCAATGTTTGAAAAGATTTGCATTAGTATGTGCCTACATTGACAGAGTGTATACTACCTGGAAAACCTTGGAGTTTTATTTTACTTGAAAAAACCTGAACTTATCAGGAAATTTTCAAATTCCTTTAAAAGCAAATTTAAAAAAATAGAATGTATTTAAGTACGTTCGAGAATGTTGGCTGCGCAGAAATAATCGATTCATCGTGTTAATGGCTAGCCAGATGGGCTAGTTAAAAGGGATTCCCCTAACCTCTGGTCTAGCCACGGAGATCGTCTGGGGTGGGCTACACTCGCCTCTTTTGTTGGCTAGCTCGAGCTTGAAACCCTGGAGCTTCAAGGTCGGCTCCTGGTTTGTCGACACTGATCAAAAGTACAAAACACCTCTTTATCACTTTTCACTCGTTTATTACTTACGATTTCGGTGTCTGTAGTGTGTATGTGTGTGTAGGGCTGGCCAGCGATGACGGAATTCTGCAGTGGGTGGGGTTTTTCGGCGGCGGATGTACGGACTGCTCACGGTGGATGCCAGTACTCGACGGTTATCACCGTGTGGTACGACGGATGTTGTACTGGGACTCGATCGGGTGATCGACGGTGGTCTCCCAGTGGTCGTCGGTATATAACCGATGGACGCTTGTTACACGGGTGTTGGCGTATTAACGGACGCCCTCGTGGTTTTAGCCCGTAATTAATGGGTCCTGAGGGGAATTTGAGAGGTGGTCTTAGGGCTGGGAATTCCGCTACCGGGTATTAATTGGGTCCTACCTGACTCTGTATTCGGTAGTTTCACCGGTATTTGTTGGCGACTCTATATTTTTCACTTCTCTCAAAACTTTTAAGAAACTTAACTTGGCAGATCGATCTATCTCGTGCAATGGCTAAAGTGAAAGAGAACCTTCTCTTCAGTTTGACCCAGTAGCTTCCCCCTTGACCTAAGCCCATTTCCACCTCCCTCCCACTTTTTCAACACCCCTTGTCCATATCCTTCTCTTGTTTCCAACGCCCACCTTCATCCTTACTCCTTCCCGTTATGTGTTATGTGTTATGTGTTGTTGGTGTGACTGGGTTACAATATTTAATTGGACCGTTACACATTTAATTATATTTACATTCAAAACAAGACAATATTGCATACAAGAAACTGACATACAGATTGAATTCACAATGAACACACATATACCCTATTCCTCGCTCTCGCTATCTCCTGATTTTTCTCGCTCGAAGTGAACCAATAGGGTACAGGAACCAAAACGGTAACAATCGCCATCAGTTGGCAGCAAACGCTGTCAAACTGCATTTTGCATAAAGCTCAATCGTGACTCTTCCATTGTTTGTGTTTCCGTGTTTGTTCATTATTGTGACCATTGCACAATGAAGGGAAAAAAGAAAAGTTTGACCAAAAATGTTTTTATTGTTTTAACCGAAAGATTATCATACCCAGACATTATACTTGGCAACGATTTCATTTTTCAGTGTTAACGAACCAAAATTAGGGGACGTTGGTCACGGTGCTCCAAATAATCAGATTTTTTCATATTTATATGATTCAACTCATAATGCAGTGTGATAAATTAAATTAAATTGAGTTAACTTTGTAAATAACCAATTTTAGAAAAAAAAAATCTTTTGAGCACTATTGAAAATCGTTTTTGAAATAGTTTTTACCCCTCAAAGTCTCAATTTGTGAGCATTAATTTTGGGTATTAACTCAATTATTTTCCATCCAATTTTCAATGCCTCGTTCTGGTTCTACGACTTGTTGGCTAACGTGTCGGGATTTTCATTCTCTTCAATTCCATAGTAGCTACGAACCCAATATAGGTTCAATTGGTTTCCACAGGCCAATTTCTGAAGTGACAATGCACATTCCCATACGAGTTTTGAATTGCATGTTGCTGATTTTAAAGCATGTAATGCTGCTTGACTATCAGACACATAATTTAGATATTCGAATGTTTATAATTTCTGCACAAGCCTAAAGCCCGATTCAAAGTAAATTTGGACGCATTCAAGTGATCATAACTTAAGAATTAAACAATATACACGGTTGATCAAAACGTCAATCAAAAGGGTATTTATTCAGCTTTCAAACGATATATAACAAGTTATTACATTTCACCGTTTCGAACGAACTGTCGCACTTTACTTGTGATCGATGCCATCATGATCTGCACAGTCGCTGGTGACACGTTTCCGGCTGTTATGAACGGTAACTGATCACTACTATGTGATTTGTTTAATTATTAAGGATTAACTAGTGTTAATCAATCTTTCTTCTTATCTTAAATAAAAGCTCAACGATGTAGATTGGATTCAACTCCGTCTCGTTCAACGGCTCATGCTAGACTAGCCTAGCTCTTTATTCTGGACTCTCATCTCGAGTCTCTTTTTATATCTTGATTTATTACACTCTAAATCATTAATTACTCTGAACAGGGTAGATACTACTGTTCTCCCTTCTTAAGAAAAAACAAACAGTCTAAATTTCCAATTACATAAATAAACACGAAGAATTCAATAATTCAAAACACTTCGAATTCAATCCCGTTGATGTTGCAGCTGCAGCATGTTCTTGCTTAACTGTGTTGAACAATTCAATAATCCAATTCATTTTAACACATCGAATTCAACTCGTTGAAGATGCAGCCTCAGCCTTGTCTTGCCTAGCTGAGTTGCACAGTTCTCGACCGCGTGCAGATGGGACTTCTAGCTCGTCTGACCTTCTTGCTCTCGTGGATGTCTTCTGGTCTCGGGAGGTCCGAGAATCCGTGGAAATCTTCTTCATCTTCGATCGAATCCCTCTTACGCTTGTTCGTTGTGCTGGTTGGAAGGCGTACCACAGCTCTGTTTCGCTTGGATTCGTAAGCAGCCTTCAACTGTTGTCTGTGCGCGTTCGTCTTGTGCTTACCGATCAGAATCTGGAAAACATTATCAGACATTCGTTTTACAAATACAGCCTCCAGCCATCTCGGAAATTTATTAACATTTTCATAAAATAGCTTATCCCCTGCCACAAGCTAATTCCAAATCATTCCGAGGTACATTTGAGGGTGCTTTTTGTTTCTCTTCTTCTAGTACAGGATTTTTAGAATTTTGCTCAGCAATTCTCATATAGTGTTTGTACGTTTTGTTTGGATTAAACAAATCCAGCAACATTTTAGGCTTATATGAGAGCATTTTCTCGGAAGGAAATGTACCCTCTTTTCCAGAACAACTATTTCTATAGTTTATTAGAAATAAATTTAGTTTGTCATCAATTTCTAAAGACTTGGTTTTATTGTCAAGTAAAAACTTTTCAAGAACCTCCTTAGCAACCCTCACCATCCTTTCAGCTTGACCATTACTGGCGGGATGGTAAGGAGGACTTTTAAATATTGTGATTCTTAAGAAAAATCCACATAATGCCCAACAACTTATGCGCCGATCAGTTGCGCGCCGGGTTGTGCGCCAGCTATCTTGATGAATA